CCCATGATCCCCTATTGCCCGGGGGCCCCATGAGTTGTCAGTCCACCCCTGGGCTGACACATAAGAAAACTCTCAATATTAACATTTCTAATCCACCTGGCCACAGTTCAAATGTCAGGAAGCACACAATTGGAAACTGGTTGCTATGGCATTGAGCAATCACATTAGTTAGCTATTTTCCTGAACTGTGAATGACTGTGAACCATTGCAGATTCCCACAACAGGAAGTGTGAGGAAATCTCTTGTTCTGTTGTCAACTGTAAATATTGACCTTCCCTTCATGTCTGCCTTGATGACAATGGTCACTAGAACAAATATAGAGGGTGAATCTACCCAGTGTGAATACAGACAACAATAAAAACTGACACATATAAATACATAATTTTGCATTTCCTGGTAGTGGGCGTGTGCGCCATCTGCGGCCACGGATGTCAATCACCGTGTCCAGGCCGATGATTACCTTGCCGGCTCCCAGTGATTACTGACAGTCACCGACAGGGAAGAAGACTGTTTTGTTTACAAACAGTCTTCCTCCCTGTCAGCACAGCACAGCCATCCTGATCAGTGTGCTTACAGTGAAGCACACCCCCCCAGCCCCCTAGTAAAACACTCCCTACACACAGTTAACCCTTTGATCACCCCTCACATTCACCCCTTCCTGCCCAGTGTCATTAGTATAGTGTCAGTGCTGTTTTTTAGCACTGATCACTGTATTGGTGTTACTGGGGATGTCAGTGACACCAAGTTAGTTCCCCCAAGTGCCAGAATGCCCGCCGCAGTCGTGCTAAAAGTCGCTGATCGCCGCCATTTCTAGTAGGGAAAAAAATGAAAAAAACCCCAGCATCTATACTGCCATTTGTAAACGCTATAACTTTCATGTAAACCAATTAATTTATACGTATTGGGATTTGTTTTAGCAAAGACATGTAATAGAATACTCTTTGGCCTAAATTTATGATGAAATTTGATTTTTTAAATTTTTTTACTGGACATGTTTGATAGCAAAAAGTCTGAAATATTGTTTTTTTCTCAAAATTGTTGAGTTTTTTTGCTTATAGCACAAAAAAGAAAAAACTCACAGGCGATCAAATACCACCGAAAGAAAGCTCTATTTGTGGGGAAAAAAAGGACGTAAATTTAATCTGGGTGTGGCATTGCATGGCCGCGCAATTGTCAGTTAAATTAACGCAGCGCCGTAATGCAAAAAATGACCGGGTCAGGAAGGGGGGGTAAAGCCTCTGGAGGGCAAGTGGTTAATTTGTGGGAGCTATACATACATTTCAACTGCCATACACTGTTATGATGTTCGTCACTTTTGTGTTATACTGCACTTTATATTTTTGTCTCACACTCTGCCTCCTGTGACGTATAAATATGATGATTGATAAGAGCTCACTGACATCAGTAGTCAGAGATGTCACGATTTTATAAAAATGCGCAATTTAATAATTATATTCCATAGCAAAGAGCATTGAAGACTGAAAAGCACGACACCCCAGCTACACAGTCATCCCCAACAACAGAATAGTCACAGTTTTTTGTAATCAAGCAGATCAGAACAAGTCAAATGTTTTACTGACATTGTCTATTTACAGTATGTGGTTAGGATGGACATATGGTCAGGTGAACATTTCAAGATGTTGTAGTCTATGCATGCTTCAGAGACATTTAGCAAGTATTTTACTTTACTTTGCCTTGAAATGAAGCATTGACAGTTAAAGGATAAGTTCACCTTTGGAGCATGTTACATGTGTCACCCATTTTTAGGGTGGAACATGTAACATGCTCCCATAGCCACCCACAGCCACGCCTGCCGCCCCTCCCTGTGACAGATAATAGGGTGAGAAGTTTCCCCGTACTATCTGTCAGAATGGAAAACAGCGTGGCCGTGCAGGACTTTGGCCACACGGCCACATCACTCATTCATAGAGTTCTGTGCATGAGTGCCTACAAGTCCAGGCAGCCTTAGCGGATGTCGGCTTGTAGTTTTCAATGAACTACCACAGCGCTGGGGGATGTGGAGCACCGGGGCGGTTAATTGAAGCTTCCTGTCAGTATATCTTCTTGACCGTACATTCCATACGGCTAGCAGATATTCTGATAGATCTGCAAACCTGCATAGCATCAGCAATCTACTGATCACTGGTGCAATGCTTTCCAGGCTCCTTTGGACAAAAATAATTAATACACATTTTTGTTACCTTCCAAAAATGTGCATTTATTATTTTTGTCCAAAAGGTGAATTTATCCTTTAATCTGAGCCAATGTAAATTACAGAACAGCTACAGAAATTACATTTTCTCTGCAGCAAATCAAACAATATAGTCAACCGCTGCTTGTTAAACTATAGCAGTTCCCTGTGACTATGTTAGTTTGCTTTGGCAAGAGATCAAAACCATAGAATCAAGTCACTTTGAACTGTATTTTATATATCTAGAGTCAGCAAAGAGTATTTATCACGCTGATGTTCTTATCAAAGACAAGGCTGATCTTTGCATCTTTATGTTCTTTGCTGCATTAATATTCATTGCATCTGTGTGGTGCCAATTAGAATGTAGGTAAACAGAATGGTGTATCTGGATGCATTTTAAAAAGTGGTCACTGGAAAAGTTTGCCTCATGGACCTTGCATCCACAAGTGGTTGCATGTAGAAAGCCACAATCTCATTTACCAAAGGAATTTGATTTCCACTTGTTGTCAATTTATGGACAAGTCTTATTTCTGCAAATATGATGTGGTACATTTTTACTGGCTGGCACTATTGCCCTGTGAAAAGAAACAATTGAGTACTGTCCGTGATTCTTTTTTTATTTTCACTAGTCATGGACAGTATTCAAATTTTTCTGTTACAAGTACACTAATATGGCTATAATCTCCTAAAGCCCCATAAATAGTAAATATCAATAATAAAGAAATCAGCTTGGGAAAATATATATTTATGGGTAAAACTGGGCTACATTTTCATTACTAGAACCTGTAGACACACAAGTTATGGTGCCCTAAGTAATACCTTTCTTCCACAGTCTTCTTTTTTACAGTGGAAAAATCCTTGTTTTTTTCTGATCCTAAATTTTAACCACTTCAATACTGGGTACTTTCACCCCCTTCCTGCCCAGGTCAAATTTCAGCTTTTAGTGCTGATGCACTTCAAATGACAATTGCGCAGCCATGCAACACTGTACCAATTTTTTTTTTTTGAGACAGATAGAGTTTTCTTTTGGTGGTATTTAATCACCATTGGGTTTTTTATTTTTTGCTAAACAAACTAAAAAAGACCAAAAAATTTTGGAAAAAAAAAAATGTTTTCTTTGTTTTTGTTATAAAATTTAGCAAATAAGTAAATTTTCTTCTTCACTGATATGCACTGATGGGGCTGCACAGATGGGCACTGATAGGCTGCACTGATGGGTACTGATGAGGCTGAACTGATGGTCACTGATGAGGTGGCACTGATGGCCACTGATAAGTGGCACTGATGAGTACTGTTGAAGAGGCACCGATGAGGCTTCATTGACAAAGAGGCACTGATTGGTACTGATATGATGCACTGATGTCCACTGATATGCTGCACTGATGGAGCTGCACTGAGTATCAGTGTAAATATTCCCTGTCACAGGAAATCTGGTTATCTGCTTTACTTTCCTCAAAAAGTGACATTAGCATTTCCTCTACGCACTAACTGAAATTTTTTTACATGTCATCACTTGTGATTGGGCACAGCTGATCACATGGTAAAGAGCCAACGTCATTGACTCTTTACCCTTATTGGTGATGCGCTATATCCGAAGGACACAGCTCACACCAATCGCCACGCTGCCCGCCCCGCTTGCCCATCATTGTACAATAGCCTAAATAAATATCATGATCACATCTAAATAAGCCTTTATGAGATGACTATTAATATTGATGTTGGAAAAAAATTGTGAGCCCAAAAATTATAAAGGGAAAAAACCTATATTCCTTTGCCGCCTACAGGCTCATGTCCATTGTGCCTAATGGTAAAATCAGCTATGGTGAAGAAATCATAATTAATTCCAGCCTTTCCAGTGTGTTTTCATTAAATGCAAGTATCTCATCACTGCTCTTCTGTCAATTAAACAAAAACAAAATAAAATGCTTTGTATTTACTCTAATATGCATACAAATATATGGTGCTAGAAAACGAATAATGTTAATTGATTTTGCCTTTTAATATTACCATATGTGTTTATTTTGAATAAAGCTTTCCTCAGTCACATACATATATCTCCATTACAAGGATGCGTTCACTAATAGTGCTTTATTGTCTCTAAAGTAATTTTAGCTTTCACTTATGAAATTATGTATTCACTTTACAAAATGTATTTCCTAGCAGTACAATAGGCACAGTCAAAACTTTTTTTGTTTTAGTTTTGGGCACAGTGTGCAAGGGTTAGATAGAACACTTAGGTTTTTCTTGCTTTCTTTGTCTCCATTGGGGAGCTTTTCCCCTCACTTTTTGTTCCATGAAGTGATCATCAAATCTCCAAGAAGTGAGGGGATAGCACTATATCTCCTTTGAATATATATACATCCACTTCTTGGACTGGTTGACATCCACAAAGAGAAATAAAAAAAACTGACATTTTTTATTTAGTTTAGGCTATAAGGTGATATTGTTTGCATGTTCTTAACAGACAGATTTACAGTAACTAATGCATACATTCTTTAGCATTAAAGAGAACTGAAATGTTAAATTGACACATTACTCATGTTTTGGTAAGCCAAAAAGTATCATAACATTGTTATCATGTAGTCCCACTGAACACATTGCATTATATATTACACTAATTCCTGAGCAGAAACACTTTAGCTGTTCCCCATTCTGCATATGTTTCTGTATTTCCAGATTAATCCTAGATTTTCTGAACATCTCATTCTTATTTCAGTAAATATTCAGAGATGTGAGTCATCTTAAAATATGTTAAATGTGTTTTATGTCTCTACTGCTACACTTTAATGTGTCTTCTTTATTACCATAGGAATATACCATTGATATATTTTTTGCACAAACCTGGTATGACAGGCGCCTGAAATTCAACAGTACTATAAAAGTCCTTCGACTGAACAGTAATATGGTTGGAAAAATTTGGATACCAGATACATTTTTTCGGAACTCAAAAAAAGCAGATGCGCATTGGATAACAACACCTAACCGAATGTTGCGAATATGGAATGATGGAAGAGTACTTTACACACTCAGGTATACATTTCGGTCCTCTTTATTAGGTTTGTGCTGCAAAATGTTTATTTCTTTCCTAAGAGAAGCATTACTCAGAACAAGTATGTAGATAAAGAGTTCTGACTTAATATGTATTGATCACAGGAATACAGCATAATGGCCAAGAAACTATTAAGTTCAGATAGTCAACAACGGCAGCCTCCAGGTTTCCGAAGGAAATGTTTACAGAGTGAATAGTAGGTATAGAGATATATAATAATCTGACAAGCTAAAACTGCTTTGGCCATATACAAAATATATTCAACAATATGAAAGTGTAAGCAAAAAAAAAAGATGATTAAAACTGTGTTTCCAGGAAAACCGCTAAATACGCAGCTAACATAGCATAAAATATGTGAATTGTGTTCCATGCCCATACATTTTTTTTTACATTTCTACTTAACCAGTTTTGTGATTAGTGTAAAAACAGCAGCTGGGTTGTGAACAGCGTTGTTTATCTAAAACTTGGAAATTTCTGTCAGAAGGTGATAGCAGAGTGAGTAGTTACATAACATCATCCATGCAGTGATGCTCCTTCACTGTCCAATTAACAGGCTATAATGGAGTTCAGTTGATGAGTACCAACGCACTGAAGATGCTGTATCTCAACTCATGTTAGAAAGCTCTCTTAATAGATCAAAAGTACTGTGCACATCACAGGTGTTCTTTTTTGTTCTTCTTTAATTCTAAACAGTATGAATATTTTAAAACTAATATATATTTAAAAAAAGTTAGGCATACGTTGGTTAGGTATAGTATCCCAGTATCCCTGATTAAAATTGTGCTGTTGATATATTTTACACTGCTTTATCCTCTGAATAGTTTTAATTCTTGTAATGTCTTTTAACCCTGTGTATGCTCTTCCTCTCTAGCTATTTTTATTCTGCTGGCCAGTTTTACGCTATTGTGTCATCTATATATTTAACCACTTACCCTCCTAAGGATTTACCCTCCCTTCCTGACCAGGCCATTTTTTGCGATACGGCGGTGCGATACTTTAACTGACAATTGTGTGGTCATGCAACACTGCACCCAAATGAAATTTCCCACAAATAGAGCTTTATTTCAGTGGTATTAGATTGCTTGTGCATTTTTATTTTTTTTGTGCTATAAACAAAAACAAAAAATGCCAGTTTTGAAAAAAAAAACTATATTTTTGACTTTTTGCTATTAAACATGCCCAGTAAAAAAAATGTAAAAATCAAATTTCATCATAAATTTAGGCCAAAATGTATTCTGCTACATGTCTTTGCTAAAAAAAATACCAATAAAAGAAAATTAGTTGGTTTACGTAAAAGTTATTTCATCTACAAATGGCACTACATATACTAGAATCATTTTTTTTTTACTAGTAATGGCGGTGATCAATGACTTATAGAGGGACTGCGGGGGCATTCTGACACTGGGGGAAACTGACTTGGTGTCATTGACATCCCCAGTGACACCAATACAGTGATCAGTGCTATTAAAAAGCACTAACACTATACTAATGGCACTGGGCAGGAAGGGGTTAACATCTGGTCAATGAAAATATTAATTGTGTGCTGCTTTACTATGTGGACTGGTTGTGTCTTTCACTGTAAGCACACTGCTATGCAGAGCCATACAAAGCAGAGTGCAGGAGCTGACAGGAGACATCTTTATTGTTTACATACTGGTCTCTCCCCCCCCATCGGAAGTCCTCGGAGATCGCCGGGTGTCAGCAGGAATCACTGGCCAGGACCCGGTGATCAACTGCCGAGGTCATGAATGCCTGTGCACCCCCTGCCCGCAACTACCAGTGCCGCCCTGTAGCAGTATTTATGCTATAGAGTGGCGCGGAAGCGTTTAAGAGAGTTTGATAGAAATCAGCCAGTGACAGGGCAGTTTCAATGAGCACAGGGACAGCCTGATTAAAGTACTGTTCAGTTTTTAAAAAATGGGTATACGTGTTGCTGACACCTGAAAAAAGGCATTTTTTTTCAAACTGTAATGAATCAGACTGGGGTGCTATATGCCATGTTATTTGTAAAAGTAAAAAAGTCAATTCCATGAGTACATGTCCCTAATTGCAATGCCTTGCACTCTGTACCTTTTTGTTTACAGTAGTTTACCTGTTAGCCCTAAAAATTGCCAGAACTTGCTAACAAGATTTGGCTGCCATAGACTTTGCCTTTAAGTTTGGGTTCATCACATTTCAAAGAGGATTTACCAATTTCTTGAAGAATTAAATCTGAAAATATATGCTAATTCATACTTAAAGGATAAGTTCACCTTTGGGAACATGTTACATGTTCCCAGTGCTGCAGCTGCAGCCACAGCCCACTGCCCCCCCCCCCCCCCCTCCCTGTGACAGCAGTATAGGGAGAAGTTTCCCACCCATACCAGCTATCACTTTTTAAAAATAGACAACATTTACCAAAGATTCATGCATTTATTTAATTAAATAGAGGTAGAACAATGTTTGCATTCTGGGTGAGAATCATGTGATTTTTGTGTGAAAACATTTATAAATAGACCCATAAGTTTGCAATGCAATTCAAGATTCCCTAGCAATCGGCAACTATTTTTAATTTAAAATAAAAATGCCCTCAGCAGTTATCATATTTGCAAATATATTTTGCTGCACCAATGTTTCTCTGTTTACAGTCCTGTTATAATCTGTGAGAGTTCCTACAAAAGCTGGAATATTTTAACATTAATTAAACCGAAACAAGATTTTCTATAGGTTTTCCCATTTCCAAATGTTGTACACACATGAGACAACAGGTTTGCAAAAGACAGTTGAAAATTTCTCATGTATATACACCATATAACAGTTAAAAGACAGCCACTTAATTAATATAACACTAGCAAGAGCGGAAAATTTAATAAGCGCACCCTTTGAATTCAGATTCCTTTGTGAATGCTAATATATGTATACTTTACAGAAAACTAACCAGTGGTCCTATAAAAAATGTAACCACTTCTCTTCCGTAGGACATCATAGGACATATTGGACTTTCAGTGGTTGTGCCGGATTCCTGCAGCTTTAGGCATCAATCCAGTATCATATTTTTAGGCCTGGCCATGCTGAATAATGTAAAAGCAATCCGAGTAGCTAAACAGCAGTTGGATCACTTTTACATGTAGCAGGAGAGGATCCCTCCTCTCCATCCACCTTCCGCTGTCTTTCTGGGCTTTCCCATCCCACAGGGGAGCACGGGGCTAAAGCCAGTGGTTCTACTAGTTTACCATAAAGATGACAGAGACCCAGAATGTTCCTGATCATCTCTATGCTCTAAGAAACAAGAAGCGACGGGTTTTGTCACTTCTGGTTTAGCCAGGATGTAAGCAAGCCCTTGCTGATCAATAAGCAATAGCAATAAATGTGAGAATAAAAAGTAAGAGAGTGTAAAAAAAAAAAAAAAAAAAAAAAAAATATATATATATATATAAAATAAATTTAAAGCAACCTCACCCCCCTCGTGCTTGCATGCAAAGGTGAACACATACATAAGTTCTGCACGTGTATGTAAACAATGTTTGCACCACACACCCCATGTGACATATCTCCACGAATGTCAAAGCAAGAGCAATAATTCTAGCACCATACCTCCTGTTCACCTCTAAGCTCCTGATCTGTTAAGGCTTTTAAAGCATTATCTAGGGAGATTTTTAGGTACTATATTTTGGCGCCATTCCATGGGTGTATGCAGTTTTAAAAGCATGACATGCTAGGTATCTTTTTACTCAGTGTAACATCATCTTTTATATTTTTACCAAAAATGAGCACTATATTGTGTTTATGTGAGCTAAAATTTATGAAAGTGCTTTTTTCCAAAAAATGTGCATTTAAGGAATCCCTTTGCAAGTACAGTGTGACATAAACACCCACCATTCTCTATTATTCTCTATGGCCTCTGGTTAAAAAAAATATGTTTGGGGTTCTAAGTAATTTTCTAGCAAAAAACGTATCATATTTACATGTAGAAGAGAAATGTCAGAATTGTCTCAGTAGGGAAGTAGTTAATAAATCAAGTAAAATGTATTTTATTAGTATTATCCATATCTATTACCTTCTATTTTAAAATATTTTTTCTGCAGGCTTACGATAGATGCCGAGTGCCAACTGCAGCTGCACAACTTTCCAATGGATGCGCATTCTTGTCCTTTGGAATTTTCGAGCTGTAAGTATTTCATTCTCGTTTACTCTTAGACACCACATCCAATCACTTTCCAACGCTTGCCACCTCAACCTCCGCAACATCTCCAAAATACACCCCTTCCTAACCAATGACACCACAAAACTCCTAGTCCATTCCCTGGTTATCTCTCACCTCAACTACTGCAACTCCCTTCTCATTGGATTATCTTTACATAGGCTATACCCCCCTTCAGTCCATCATGAATGCTGCTGCCAGACTCATCCGCCTTACCAACCATTCAATGTCTGCCACCCCTATCTGCCAATCCCTCCATTGGCTGCCACTCACCCAACAAATTAAATTAAAAATATTAACAATACCTTACAGAGCCATCCACAATTTGGCCCCCAGCTACATCACTAACCTAGTCTCAACCTAATTGTTTTCTTCGTTCCTCCCAAGATCTCCTGTTCTCTAGTACCCTTGTCACCTCCTCCCTTGCTCAACTGAGCCTCTCTTATGCTCTGGAACTCATTACCATGATCAGTCCGACTATCTCTTACTCTGTCCACTTTTACACAATCCCTGAAAACTTTTCTTTCCAGAGAAGCTTATACTGTCTCCACCTAACAACTGTACTTTTATTTTCTCCATCAGCTCATCCCACACCTTTTACCTTTTGTATCACTTGTCTGTCTCCTTTTAGATTGTCAGCTCTAATGAGCAAGGTCGCCTGATTCCTCCTGTATTGAATTGTTTTGTAACTGTACTAATAATAATAAGGTGGGCTTTATTTGTTTTTAGAAAACAATTAATTTACATCAAAAACTTTACAAGGTTTACGTAATAGATAAATAAATAAACATAATTATTGTATGTATTGAATAGTTACAATGCAAAACAAAAACAATGGCTAGTTGCAATTACACTGAAATCCAAGGGCAAAGCCTACAGTTTTTAAGAAGATAGAATGGACAAGGTCTATGTATAGTGGATAGTGAATACAGTTGACTTCCCCTAGAAGGTACATTTTGGAAAATTGTAGGTCATTCCAATGTTGCTGTTGCTGTCATTTTTGTTCATCCTTGACACATTTGAGTTTGCATTTATGAGAACCAAATATAATCTAAAAAAATCTCATATAAGCTTTAACTTGTTAATGTAAATGTAAAAGTTGCTTTCAATCTTTCTAAATTATACAATATTTTTTCAATGTTATTAAAATAATATCTGGTGATCCAGCCATGAGGGTCCAGGTACTTTGTTAGGTGGTAACTTTTGTATCCCATTTGCGTTCCTGCAATGTTACCCCATTACCCTGACAGAGACTACAAATGTCCATTTTGATACACATTGCTGATACGCATTTCCTTGGTGTGTTGGGGTGGCATTCAAAATGATTAACACCACAACACACTAAGGCAAGTTAGATGCCTTAATGTGCGTTGTGGAAATGCAGGCATGTAACCTAATTTGGTATGCAGAATGTAACTTAGCTGTCTAATGATATGTGAATGAAAAAAATAAATGTGGGATGCACAAAATACAGTTTAAGTGGTTGTGAACCTCATACATTAAAAATGAACAAAGCATATCCTTCTATAGTGTGTGGTAGCCTGAATATAAAGCACTGAGTAGGAATCCCCTCTGATCTTTGGTCCCTCTGCTATCTGCATGAGTCAATAATACAACTCTAAGCCAAAACAGCAGCCTCCCAAACCCAACCCCCCCCCCCCCACCCACCAAAGGATACAGCAGGTGACTTACAGCCTCAGCTCTGTGTGTTTTCTATGAGCCTATGTAGAGGGGTTGTGTCCCGTCCCTCCACTCAGTTATCACATTACAGAAAACTCTGTGTTCTAGCTCTGCAATGGGCTTAGAACCACTGTTAAGCCCAACTCTGGGTAATTTAAAAAATTTTCCTTTCATTGGGTCTGTGCCTGGACTGCAAGGTTTAATTGCTCATTTATGCCTAGGAGAACAATAAAAGAAATTATACTTAGCTGATCCACCGCTCCCCCATAGAAGTAGCCCGGTCCCTGCAGCTACTGCTTCTAGCAGGGTCCTAACATCATCAAGACCAGAGCAGAGTCCATAGCCATGCTTTGGATGTAAGGACTCCAAAGGAGGAGCACCATCTGATTGGGGAGTGAACGATCAAGTAAGTAAAACTGTTCCTCTTCTCCCCTGGACAAAACCAGCTATTAACCTCTGCAGTTACACACAGTTGGACTTTTATTAAAATTGTAAATGTCATAAAAATTTTAGAGAATACAAACTGTAGAAGTGCAGAAATAAACCCTTAATTCTTACACTATTTTTGCATTTCAGATGGTTACCCAAAAGAAGAAATAATCTACCAATGGAAACGAAGCTCAGTTGAGGTGGGAGATGTACGCTCATGGAGACTTTACCAGTTTTCTTTTGTTGGACTAAGAAATACAACTGAAGAAGTGAAGACAACCTCAGGTAAGAAAAAATGCTTATCTTTCTAATCATGAAATATACACTTATACGAATATACTGTGGTCATCTGATAAAAATTTGTTTGTAATAAAAATTCAAATAATTATCAATAATATTACATTTACCGTTGTCCTATTAGTCAACCTGAAAAAGCAATTGTAGAAGTACAAGTATGTATCTTGTTCTTTGTGCTACTCCAGCACATGAGTCTGCTGCCTGTAAAATTGCTATCCTAAATGACAGTACCCAACCCATCTTGCATCCAGTCTTTACTAAGGAGTTTAAAATAATCCTGTTTTGAAAATGAAATTGTCCATAGAGCTGTCCTTTCGAAAGATGCAGCATTTGATGATGTGAGAGGTGAGTATTTGCACTCTTTATTTTTTGCTGCAGACAACGTTTTGGGCAATTTTATTTCCATGACAAGATAATTTAAGCAATTGCAGGGTAACTCCCCTTTTGTGAAAAAAAGCAAAGCAAATTAAAAGAATAATATAAATATAACTCAGCGCTACAGACATGCAATACCCACAAATAAAATTACAGTGTGCCATATCGCTGCAGCATTCAATTCAATATACCAAAATATGTAAAATAATATAGCGATAAAAGTTTTTTTAAACTGTTGCAGGATGAACTAATCTTTATTTGAGTACTGGAGCATATTTTATACATTTTGGAAAGACTGAACTTTCAAGTTTATTTAGAACTGTGGCAGGATGGACTAATCTTTATTTGCCATAAACGTGGTCACTTTGGTTTTTACACTTGTGCTTACACAAAGCATGTTGTAATTTAAAGTTATTAAAAATGAGCTTTTCTTTTCAATTTGCAGTGCTGTTATTTTCTATAAAAGTTAATATGGGCATCTGAAGGACAGAATGCATCCAAAAATGTAATTTCCTGCTTTTATGATTGACCTACTGATTTTCCTAGAAGTCTGCATTAAGACACTAGTCAGATTTTAGGTATCTTGTACATGCCTAGAAATGAATGTTTTGGTATGGGTTAATTACTTCTAAAGGCATGCAGATACTGCAGTTTTTCTCAGTAGAAAAAAAAAATGTGCCAGCCGATTATAATAAACTAGATGCCCCCATTCAGAATGATTATGCGCTCTGGTGAAGCAAAGAGCTATACCTTCAAAGCAACAAACGTTTATTAAAATCACTGCAAAGTACATTGTAGAGTTTTGGGGTTTTTTTCAGCACAAAAATGAAGTTACTCTTGACGAGGGTAGGGAGTAATTCTGATCATTAAATACATTATATACTTGTTATTTTTAGATGATTTCACCAGATCCATTTATTATTATTATACAGGATTTATATAGCGCCGACAATTTGCTCAGCGCTAAGATCCATGATTTTAAATGCCACTTGCTAATGAACAACAGAGGCCCAATTTTTAAATTTTTAGGGGAAATTTTGATCAGACTGATATCAATATGCTCTTTCAGTTACTACCATCATATAAGGCTGGCATGAGAGTATATGTTTACTGCACAGACATGCACACTCTGTTAATAATCAACTTAAATATTTCACCCCCACACACATACAAGCATTTACTGCATAAATCAAAATGCATGAAATACATATTGGTTAATCCACAGCAATGTTTTATGTGCTCATATAGTAATATATGTGATGTTTATTCATACTATTAGCAGCTTTATCAACTGAAGTTTTTAATCCTTTTATTAGCCCTTAACCACTTTTTTGTAGATGTTTATATGGGAAAATAATTCTACTCTTATTCCTTATCATTAAAAAAATGGCTTGAAATACATAACTATGAGTACATGTGCCTTTATAACTTATTGTTTTGTATAGTGAGAACCAGCCAGAACTAGGATGACAAGCTTTTTTTATTATACCCTCAAGGCTCTGTCCTCGGGCCCCTTCTCTTCTCCATCTACACCTCCTCCCTTGGCCAACTGATACACTCTCACGGCTTCAACTACCATCTCTATGCTGACGACACGCAAATCTATCTCTCGACCCCTCGCCTCACCCCCTCAGTCTCTGCCCGAATCACAAGCCTATGGAACGACATATCAGATTGGATGTCGCTCCACTTCCTTAAACTGAACCTCTCCAAAACTGAGCTCCTAGTTTTCCCCCCAGCCCGCGCACCCCCCCTACTGACTTCTCCATCACGTCCAACAATGCCACCATCAGGCCCACCCCGCAAGCCAGAGTACTTGGTGTCATTCTTGACTCCAATCTATCCTTCCAGCCCTAAGTCCAATCGCTAACAAACTCATGCAGACTCCACCTCTGCAACATCGCCAAAAATCGCCCATTCCTAACCCCAGAAACTACTAAGCAGCTCATCTACTCCCTCATCATATCACAACTCGATTACTGCAACTCCCTCCTCACTGGCCTGCCTCACAACAGGCTATCCCCACTTCAGTCGATCCTGAATATGGCAGCCAGACTCATCCATCTTACCAACTGCTCCGTTTCCGCCACCCCCCTCTGCCAGTCCCTCCACTGGCTTCCGATTGCCCAACGGATCAAATTCAAAATGCTAACACTGACGTACAAAGCTGTCCATAATACTGCCCCAAACTACATCACCGACCTAATATCCAAATACCACCCAAAACGCACTCTCCGCTCCTCACAAGACCTCCTTCTCTCTAGTTCCCTGGTCTCCTCCTCCCATGCCCGCCTCCAGGACTTCTCCAGGGCATCACCCATCTTCTTTAACTCCCTACCCCAATCCATCAGACTATCACCTACTCTCCTCTCCTTTAGGCGCACCCTGAAAACACACCTCTTCAGGGAAGCCTACCCTGCCCCCTGCTAATTGCCGATCTCCTCCACTCTTCCTACCACTCCATCCCCCACAGCTGTTCCTCCTGTACCACTATCCCCTCCCTCCTAGATTGTAAGCCCCAAGGAGCAGGGCCCTCGAACCCCTCGTGTATCGCATTGTATTATTATTGTACTGTCTCATGTATTGTCTCCCTTTGTAATGTAGAGCGCTGAGCGAACTGTTGGCACTTTATAAATACTGTATAATAATAATAATAATAATACACAAAATTTGGGTATTTGCCTTAGTCCTCACACATTGTTAAAAGAAATTTTTGTTCAATAACAATTATAAAAGTGATATAAATAATGAGTAATGTAAGAAGATATTAGTAAGATACTAAAGGCATTCTACAGGTACTGCTGTTCAAAGCACCCCTAATATCCCTTAAGAATAAAATATTAGATGTGGATCCACAAACCAGGGTTGTCAAGATTTTAGGAAGGTTTTTCAACTAGATGCTTGTATAGTTATAATTCAGTTGTTGAGTTAATTCTCTGGATTACCAAATCATATGATAAAAAGGTGAGCTTCAAATATCAAAACTGGAGGTTTATTGTCCAATAATGAAATAGCAGGGTCTATTGGGATGTTTTAGAGAGAATTTCTGGTAATCTTAAGATGGCCATACACAGCTGTTTGTTATTCAGCCAGTAGGCTGAATGAAAGAAAGAAACAAAAATTTTTTCATCCAGAGAAATGAGGTGGGTGGAGGATTCCCCCATCACAATATTGTATTCTGACAGCTGCACCCCCCACTGTCACAATACACTGATCAGTGGCTGCAGCTGATTGGCTGAAGCTACTGATCAAAAAACATTTTCCAACATGCCCCTAAAATTAGTATGTTTTTGTTTTGCAAACACAACTAATATATATTAATAATTTAACAGAATATTTACAGCTTTGGCCTTGTACTTTCTCATTGCCACTTCTTCCACTGCTGTATCCATACGAGCGTGCACAATCAAAGAGAAATTGAGGGTGTATTGTGTCTTATCACAGTACTATGATTAATCGTGTGATTGGTAAAGGCAGCTCTTAGACATTCAAAACAACAAAAAGACTACCTGATGTATACTTATGCTCTAAGATTGGTCTTGGCGTGGGAAATATTAATAGAAAAACATAAGGAAGGGTGTTCTATACCCACGCACCAATCCCACTATGACCTAAAACGTCACTTTTATTCATACATGTTTAAAAATCTATAATGTAGAACATTAAAGGAAGTCACGACAATGAGAAATTAGTGCAAAAATACAAAATTGTGGAACAAATATACAACTGTCTACATTATAGGGAGATAACAACCAGACAGTAAGTATGTATTTAGCTCTGTTGATCAATCTTTCTGTCTGAGTGGAGATGTGTATAGGGTAGGGTCAGTATCCTAGTCACATACCACAACCCAAAGGCATAGATTGATATAATGGTTTCTGTGGTCACTAAAAGGCTCAAATGCCCATCAAAATCAAATTTTCCACAGTACCCTTCCAGCCTGGAAAAATAATACACTCCTATTAATCCACTATCTCCACCAGTCCTCATCTCTTAGACATATAGAAGTGTGATGGCAGAAAAAGACCTGAATAACCCCTGCATATAAAAACACTTAAAACATGGGGACACTGTCAGAATTTTTAAATAATCATATACAGGTGAAACTTGAAAAATTAGAATATCGTGCAAAAGTTCATTTATTTCAGTAATGCAAATTAAAAGGTGAAACTAATATATGAAATAGACTCATTACATGCAAAGCAAGATAGTTCAAGCCGTGATTTGTCATAATTGTGATGATTGCGGCTTACAGCTCATGAAAACCCCAAATCCACAATCTCAGAAAATTAGAATATTACATGCAATCAATAAAACAAGGATTGTACATAGAACAATATCGGACCTCTGAAAAGTATAAACATGCATATGTACTCAGTATTTGGTTTGGGCCCCTTTTGCAGCAGTTACTGCCTCAATGAGGCGTGGCATGGAAGCTATCAGTCTGTGGCACTGCTGAGGTGTTATGGAAGACCAGGATGCTTCAATAGCGGCCTTCAGCTCTTCTGCATTGTTCGGTCTCATGTCTTTCATCTTTCTCTTGGCAATGCCCCATAGATTCTCTATGGGGTTCAGGTCAGGCGAGTTTGCTGGCCAATCAAGCACAATAATCC